TCCAATTCTTTGCCACCACAAAAATGCTGCTATGGATATTTTTGTACAGGTAGGTTCTTTTCCTGTTTGTGTGATCTCTTTGGAATATAGCCCTAGAAGTGCTATTGCTGGGTCAAAGGGTATGCACATTTTTATAGCCCTTTGGGTATAGTTCCAAATTGCACTCCAAAATGGTTGGATCATTTCACAACTCCACCAACAATGCATTAGTGTTTCAATTTTCCCATATCTTCTCCAACGTTTATCATTTTCCTGTTTTGTCATGTTGGCCATTCTGATAGGTGTGATATGGTACCTCAGAGTTGTTTTGATTTGCATTTCTCTAATCAATAGTGATTAAGAGCATTTTTTCATATGACTATAGATGGCTTTAATTTCTTCATCTGAGAACTGTCTGTTCATATCCTTTGGCCATTTATCAATTGGGGAATGGCTTGTATTCTTATAAATTTGACTTATATTTTAGAAATGAGGCCCTTGTCAGAGAGACTGGTTGTAAAAATTCTTTCCCAATTTTCTACCTTCCTTCTAATCTTAGTTGCATTGGCTTTGTTTGTGCAAAACCTTTTCAATTTAATGTAATCAAAATTATCTATTTTCCTTTTTGTAATATTCTCTATCTCCTGTTTGGTCATGAATTCTTCTGTTCTCCATAGATCTGACACGTAAACTATTCCTTGCTCTCCCAGTTTGCTTATAGTATCAGCCTTTATATCTAAATCATGTACCCATTTTGACTTTATATTGGTATATGGTGTGAGATTTTGGTCTATGCTTAGTTTCTGCCATACTCTTTTCCAGTTTTCCCAGCAGTTTTTTTTCAAAGAGTAGGTTCTTATCCCAGAAGCTGGGGTCTTTGAGTTTATCAAATAATAGATTACTATAGTCATTGACTACTGTGTCTTGTATATTTAACCTATTCCACTGATCCACCACTCTGTTTCTCAGCCAGTACCAAGCAGTTTTGATGATTGTTGTTTTATAATACAATTTGAGATTTGGAATGGCTAGGCCACCTTCCCCTGCATTTCTTTTCATTAGTTCTCTTGATATTCTGGACCTTTTGTTCTTCCAAATGAATCTTGTTATTATTTTTTCTAACTCTATAAAATAATTTTTGGTAGTTTGATTGGTATGGCACTGAATAAGTAAATTAGCTTAGGCAGAATTGTCATTTTTATTATATTAGCTCAGCCTACCCATGAGCAACTGATGTTGCTCATTTATTTAGATCTGACTTTATTTGCGTGAAAAGTGTTTTGTAATTGTGTTCATAGAGTTCCTGGGTTTATTTCGGGAGGTAGACTCCTAAATATTTTATAATGTCTACAGTAAGTTTAAATGGAATTTCTCTATCTCTTGCTGTTGGGCTTTGTTGTTAATATATAGAAATGCCGATGATTTATTTATTTTATAGCCTGCAACTTTGCTAAAGCTGTTTATTATTTCAAGTAGTTTTTTACTTGATTCTCTGGGATTCTCTAAGTATAACATCATGTCCTCTGCAAAGAGTGATAGCTTTGTTTCTTTTTTTGCCTATTCTAATACCTTCAATGTCTTTTTCTTCTCTTATTGCTAGAGCTAACGTTTCTAGTACGATATTGAATAACAGTAGTGAAAATGGACATCCTGGTTTCACCCCCGATCTTATTAGAAATACTTCTAGCTTGTCCCCATTGCATATTATGCTTGCTGAAGGTTTTAGATAGATGCTTTTTATTATTTTAAGGAAGACTCCATTTATACCTATGCTCTCTAGTGTTTTTAAAGGAATGGGTGTTGCATTTTGTCAAAAGCTTTTTTTGCATTTATTGAGATGATCATGTGGTTTCTGTTAGTTTTGGTGTTGATATGATGAATTATGCTGATAGTTTTCCTTATATTGAACCAGCCCTGCATTCCTGGTATAAATCCTACCTGGTCATAGTGTATTATTCTTGTGATAAGTTGCTGTAATCTATTTGCAAATATTTTGTTTAAAATTTTTGCATCTATATTCATTAGAGAAATTGGTCTATAATTTTCTTTCTCTGTCTTGACTGTTCCTGGTTTAGGTATCAGCACCACATTTTTATCATAAAAAGAATTTGGTAATAATCCTTCTTCACCTATTTTACCAAATAGTCTATATAGTATTGGAATTAATTGTTTTTTAAATGTTTGATAGAATTCGCATGTAAATCCATCTGGCCCTGGAGATTTTTTCCTAGGGAGTTCATCAATGGTTTGTACAATTTCTTTTTCTGAGATGGGGTTATTTAAGTATTATATTTCCTCTTCTGTTAATCTGGGCAATTTATATTTTTGTAAATATGTATCCATTTCACTAAGATTGTCAAATTTGTTGGCATATAGTTGGGCAAAATAATTCCTAATTGTTGTTTTAATTTCCTCTTCCTTGGTGGTAGCTTCACCCTTTTCATTCTTGATACTAGTAATTTGGTTTTCTTCTTTCTTTTTTTAAATTAGATTAACCAAAGGTTTATCTATTTTATTGGTTTTTTCATAAAACTAGCTCTTAGTTTTATTTATTAGTTCAATAGTTTTCTTAATTTCAGTTTTCTTAATTTGTCCTTCGGTTTTCAATATTTCTAATTTGGTGTTTAATTGAGGATTTTTAATTTGTTCTTTTTCTAGTTTTTTTAGTTGTATGCCCAATTCATTGATCTCTTTTCTATTTTATTTATGTAAGCATTTAGAGATATAAAACTTCCCCTAAGAACTGCTTTTGCTGCATCCCATCAGTTTTAGTCAGACCCAGGGCCAGCCCTTCTGTTCACCTTTTCCACTCCCACACCTCTGCTGTTGAGTGGAAGAAAGCCCCCCTGCTGGGTGGATCTTGTGGTTCACTACAAATTCATGTTATATAATCTCCACCTGGCTCTCACTGCTACATGCCAATCCTTTAGTCTTCATCACTGACTCCATTTCACTCCCCTCAGTGTTTCTTCTGGAGAGGTGAGTCACTTGGTCAGCTTCACCTGCCTACTGCTGAGGGTGTTCCATCTGGCATGGGGGTCCCCCAGAACATCTACCCCAGGCTCAAGGTACACTGTAAGTCCACAGTCACACAAAACCAAAGCTCATGAGATTCTTGATGTGTTTACATACTAAGTCTCAGTGCAGATTAAAACAAATCCCTTGAAGTGGTGGTGTTATTAGAATTTGCAGTCCATATTTCCATTGGGTTGGAACCAATTACCATTTTTTACATAATTATAACTTCAAATCATGTGAATTTAAATTTACACTGATTAGGACCTAGCTTCCTTTTACGATTCAGCCAGAAGCCACAATTAGCATATTATAGCATATTAAGAACATTAATGAAATAGCATATTAAGACCAGCAGTAGTAAGACATTCCCTTCCAAACCTGAGGCACATTCTCCTACAGTCTCCTACATACACACTACCAGTGGGCAGAGTGAATCTGCATAGATATAACACGTGGAGTCATGAATGTATAGAACATGTGTAGCCAGGGCACACATGTGGTGACTCACTTCTAGTGATGCAGGGTCACTTATGCCATCTACTGATGTGCCCATTCTCCTCTCAGTTGGACCTGTTACTTCCTATTGCTTCCTGCTTGCCTCATGGTTGCCAAATTTCTCTGTCCTGTTACCTTCTCAGCTTCCTCGTTTCAGGGCCTGATGGCCATTTTGACCTGTGTCTGAAAGGGTAATTCCAGGGCTTAGAAAGTGTCTCCCTGATAAGGGCAGGTAGTCTATCTTTAATCATGATTCATGAGCCACCACACTCAGCCAAAGACCTTGGAACAAAAGCCAGGCAGTGTGGCTGATGCTTAGGATTGTGTATTCTTTTAACTCACTTCTTTCTGCTGACAGGGCCACCACCTCTGTTCCAAGCCTGTCTCTGACTTAGGGTGAGAAAGTCCCCATTAACTCTAAATAATTAATTGTTAGCCTACATCCTGCTCAAATCACTTTGGGACCATATTCTAATGAATCATAAAGGTTGTAGGCCTGAGGTACCATCTCTTCCCTCAGCCGCCAAATCTTCTAGATCTGGCCACGAAACTGAATATTCCCAAGCACAAAAGTTAAGCTGATGAGCTCAGATCTGATCTTCCAACATCCAGGTCCACATTCCTGCCTTTTCATCGGACAATAGTTTAGAGCTGGAAGGAACCTGTAGGTCACGGACAGCAATAGTTTCCTTTTACATTTGAGAACACTAAGACACAGGGAGGTGAGCACACCACTTGTCTAAGGTCACCCTAGGGAGGAAGGAGTGAGCAGTAGATCTGGGAAATTTTGTCTTTAGAATATTTGGCAAGCCAGGCATTCTTCTGAGCTTCTGACTTCCTGACAGCCTTCCTACTGACTTCTTCATGGTTCGCGGCTTTGGTTTTGTGTCTCCCTATTACTTTATATTTGTATTTGGGGTTTTCCCAGTAGTGGAGGGAAGAAGGCTGGCACCTCTCGGCTCCTCCCCCTTCTCCTCCCCCTCCTCCCCAGTGACTCTCTGGAGGTTGCGAACTTTTTTTTTTAATATTCTTGACAAATCTATTTCAATACAATTGGTTTTCTTTAAAATTCTGTGTATTTTATTTTATGCATTTAAAAACAGTGTTCTAAGAAGTGGCCATGACTCAGGGGGCAGAATGTGACATTTTTTTTTTTTTACTTAGCAAACATGATAATTAGTTTTACTTGACTATGCCATTTGTTACAAAGGTCCACCCCCCCCCCATTAAAGGAGGAGGTGAGAGAGAAATAGATTTTTGTTGATTGAAATCTGTGCAGCAGCGGGCACCAGCCACTTCCTGCTCTTGCTTTGGTCCTTAAGCTAGAGGATTGCAGCAAGCTGGTGGAGGGCCCGGGAGCCATGATTAAAGTCAGCCAGTTAGGAAACCACTATTGATTGAGCGCTCACCACACACACACACACACACACACACACACACACACACACACACACACA